TGGTGAAGTTATGTTATTATCCCTTTGTTTTCCCTCGTTATACCTACTATATCTGTAGCAGTTTTTCCCCTCCACTCCGTTTTGCATATTTTTTTATATCGTTATCATAAAAATTCGCATTTTCGCTGCATTCTTGGAGTTTTGTGACTGACAACCAATTGAGATGTGTGACTGATCCATTGAACGAGAACCCACGGGACGATTCTTTAGTAGGCGACCAAGTGCAAACCACCAAACCTCAAAAATGCTTCTTCACTGAGAGTTGCAAGGAGAGAGACGGCCAGCCTATTATAGTCTATTTTCAATTATAACTTTTAATTTTGGAAGCACAATATATCGGTTTCACCCGAGACCTAAGACAGGGTTGTGATGATTTTTGATGCTTTTGACGCATATGCTTGGAATGTGTGAAAATGTTGAGGAATGAACGAAAGCAAAATGAGAATAAGATTTTGAAATGTTATACTATCATTACAATCCCAGTTGTTTTAATAGAGTGAAAGTTCACCGAAAAAGATGAAAATTCACCTGCCGAACCGTGCTTGATCAGAGAAATTTAGCTTTCGTTCGCGTTTTTTGCATCAACTTCTAGAATTTTAAATTTTTCGCCAGTTTAAAAAAATGCTGAATTGTGCGCATGAGCTGAGTTTATCACTATGACTTTCTAAGTATGGCGATATCTGTTCAAACATTGTGTGAACAGATCTGTTCATGTCGACATGAACAGCATATTGCTATTAAGGATAATATATTATCCGAATTACCATAGCCTGGCATAATCCCGCCATTTCAATGCCAATGTGCTGACATAATGTCGAGTAAAGTATCTTGCTGCATGCTAACACTATAGTTATGCGGAGGTTTTTCTGCCTAGATGATCGTGTTTTATTGGCGTCACATTGACGCTCCTCCGAAGAGATCCTTGTCAGGTGTGGTTGAACGCATCCAGTTGTTTCTTAAATCACGCTCGTTATTCTCATTATGGCGGGTCTCCTCTCTAAGGTTACGTTAGCCAGCCGAACCTAGTTTTTTATTAACAAATTAATAAAGAGAGATGCAGGGCGTTTCCTCTCGTTTTTGCGGATTCGTGAGCGCGTTACTAAAAACTTAGAAGGTGCTTCAGAAAACTCTAACGAATTTCGTCTACTAGTCTCTTGCGGTGTTACACAGAAGGAAAAATTCTGGAGGAATCTTCCGGTTAGGTCGATTATAGAGGCTTACATTCGACCGTCTTGTAGGTGCGCGTTGCACGGAAACCACTTTTCCGTTGTTACTTTCAACGTTGAACTGGCATATACATTCTTCAGGCAGAATGCAGCATACCATTTCTCCAACAACTTATGCGTCTTGCACCACAGGATTTTGTAATA